TATAAACTTTTACATAAATAATATAACATAATGCAAGAGTAAATAATCTTCTGTGTAACTTTTACATAAATAATATAACATAATGCAAGAGTAAATAATCTTCTGTGTATAATATAACATAATGCAAGAGTAAATAATCTTCTGTGTACAATTATAATTATATGATATTTCTACAATGATTCTTGGCTACGCAACAAATATATAAACTTCTTTGATTGCAGAAATATTATATAATCATAATTATATGAAAGATTTTTTCTTACATTATGTTATATTATTGTTGTATTATTTATTAATAATAATTATGTTTATTTGCAGCATAGTCATAATAAAAAATAATACAACAATAACATAACATAAGAAAGAAGAAGAATCATTTGCGTAACCATATAATTATTATTATATGATATTTCTGATTCTTGGCTATGCAACAATAATAAAAAAAACTGATGTGCAAAAGATGACACCTATGTTATTATTATCGAAAATAGCGACCAGACTCGATCCGAACTCGGTGAAACGCATACTCCCTCTGTTTATATTTTAATTTATATTTTAAAAAATAATTAATGATATCTATGTCAAAAACTATCTTATAACATTCAGATTTGTATGTATTGTTCAAACATGGACAGCGCCCTGCTCGTGCGATTCAAAGCAAAGTAAACACGGGCTAAACCGCTTCGTTGCAAATGGTAAGCGACTAAAGGGGCTCTCGAAGCATCTTCAATCGGCAGCCCGATGCACGGTCCCGAAGTGCATTAAAGCGTTACAGTCGTTATGCCGTAATATCGTGTTATGTAAACGACCCGCGAATCATCCCTCGCAATTCTCCTCCACCCCTGCCGACCCTCTCATACCGCGCATTCGACCGATAAACGTTACATGCGTGCTCACCCCGTTTAAACGCGGTCGGCTCTCTCTCAAATCGAATCTCCTTTGACGCGTGCCTGACGCAATTCTGCGCGCCTGTGCACGGGCACCTTCGCTCAGGTTTCATTTGATCCGATTCCACTCTGCATTCTGAGCGATAGACATTACATTTACCTTTTGCGAAGACCGACGCGAATTAATAGTACCTGTCCATAATCCGGCGCGCATTGTACACGATAGTTCAATTAGTCCTTAAAAGAGATATAGTGTACAATTTCCTTAATACCTAATGAAAAATTATGTGTCTGTTTTTTTTTTCTGTGAAAAAGAATGTCTATTCGAAGATAATTCGTCATGAGAATCCTGCAGTGAGATGCTAGTGCGAATTATTCGAATGGAATAATTAACGATGTGAACGTTTTCTTCGATTAATCTTAAGCGTTCATAGACTATCTTTAAAAAATTTTGTTATCAATTTCGGAGATTTGACAGGACAATTCTTACTCTTCAAAGAATTCTAGATCCATGGAAAATTGCATCTCACTGCATGATTCTACAACAAATCGTGCTTTTCATGTGCTATAGTTTATAAGAAAAAAAGAAAAAGAAAAAAAACTCTTTCAAGGAATTTTCAATATTGTCCGCGAAAATACCCAAACGTTTTCATATTTTAATCCTCTTACTGATATACTTATATATCATTTTCTTAAACTTCCTACAATATATAAGCTGCTTTTGTTGTAGCAGAAAACGTTATCTTTTCTCGCTAAATATATCTCGCAAAAAATCGTTTATCGCATATTTTATATACACCACTATATTCGAAATCTCTTTTCTACGGCATAAAGTTAACCCTGCTGGAATAATTTTGTTCGAACATATTACGGAAAGCACCAAAATACCTAAAGTACTAGCGTAAAGTGTACCTAATGATCATTCGTACTTTCAACTTTTTGAAATCTGACATCTCCATCCGATCAATTCCATTAAATATATTTTAATGGCGAACGGATACCGGCTTTATCGAAGCATCGGTGGAAAGGTTTGCGCCGCGACTGTGACGGAAAACGGTATATAATGATACATAGAAGATCGATAAACGTCGTGCAAAGTTTTTCGCCAGGAGGCAGCTGACGCGCGAAGATTACCGCCAGTTTCTCACTTGGATTTTTATTGGCAGCGATAGGGATGAGAGTCGGCGAGAGATTGATGTATGTGCCCTAGAATCGAACCCGCGTTCCTCCTTGTTTTATTACTCTTCACGCGTTTCTCTATATTATATCCCGCACTCCCTGCATCTCTACGTCTCCTACGCTCTTCTCTCTTATCCACTGAACATCACATCCTATAGAGCGACGGGATGTTCGTTCAAGCACAATAAAGAAACTCGGGTTGCCCGGTCGATCGAATTTGCACTGACTGTGGCTTAAGCCAAGAGGGTGGTCATCTCTCGCGTAATTTTCACCCCTAACATCTTTTGCGGCAAAAATTACCCTTGCAAGAGTGGGAAATATCGGAAGCGTGAAGCTTTTTCTGTCGGGATATCCACAAGCAGGGGACTTAAGTAACAAAGCGATCGTTTCATTATCAAGTTGTGCGATGCCTTTAGTGGCATTTATAACGCATACATAAGTTTTCAATTTTTTTATCTTACTGCATTGAACGAAAATACGAAGAGAAAAACAACTAGAAATTAGTAGATAGACATGATTTATATTCTAATACAAATGATAAATACAGGCTGTATCTGAAATGATGCATTAAACTTTAGGAGCGTATTCTAGAAATCAAAATAGACTTTTTTTCTTATGAACATGGGTCCCCCCTTCGAGCTAAAATTCGGAAATGTGTGAAATTAACCAACGCTCGCAACGCAAATTTATTTATCTCTCAAGAGAGGATGATAGGTAACGTCAAAACTTTTTTTTTCTGAAATACAGCCAATTTTTAATTTTTTCCCCAAATTTTAAGGGCTTCTAGCTTGGAAAGGGGGTTCATTTGTATGTACATAGGAAAAAAAGTCTTATTTTGATGTCTAGAATACGCTCCTAAAGATTAGTGCATCATTTTAGATACATCCTGTATATTTCAGCAATATAGTGCGGCACTAAATGCGTTTAATATATCGGAAATAAGATAGCGCAACAATGAGTGAAAATAAAAGCAATATGTGTGTGAGAGATCATATAGAAAAACAAAATAAGTTTTGATTCCTTAAACACAATTTTCTATCTGATTATGACATATAAATTAATATTATGTCTGCATTAGAAGATATAATCTTAATTTTAATTAAATTTATAAGAATATTTTTCAAGAATTTAAATTTTTAAGATATAAAAAAACAATTAAGAGATACTAATATTTATTTAAAAATTTTGTAAGCTAAATATCTTTTAACTACTAACATAATAAATTATAATAAAAATTAAAAAAATATTTATAGAAATATAAAATTATATCCTTTATTAATTTCTTAATTCGTGCCTTTGTTACTTTATTATGGAAATGTTCTCTATTTACATAGTCAAAGTACCATCTTTAATGTTTTGTGTAGGATATGTATTTCGAATTACACACACATCTTTACACTAAGTCATCCTCACATGTTGAGCTATAAATCCGTAATCACAGAAACCTCATAGCTACATTGTTCTCGCGAATGGTTGTTCGCGCGAGATAATTCGCACGTGATTTCGGAAATATAGTGCCAACACGAGAGAGGGAGAGAGAGAGAGAGAGTATCACCGTGAAAAGTCATGCTCTGTTAGAAACACGGGAGGAATGTAGAGCTTGTTTACACGGTGCAGAAAACCACATAACTATGCAGTTATGTGTACGTGGGACTTTATGTCCATGCACTTCCATGTGCTCTGTTTATCTGGTCGGCGGACACGGATGCATTAATTTAGGTTGCTAGCGTATCTGCGGCCAAACTAATGCCGGCTACTATGTCCGGAAAAAGGCCGAGAACGAACGGCGAACATTTATCTCTTTCTAATGGGTCTACCAACACAGCACGCTAAATCCTGCGATAATTATAAAAAAAAAGATTCCGGATAAGTCGAAATTTCTTGTTTTCCACAAATCTTTAATATAACGAGTTAATAATATGAATTAATAATTGCATATCTGGAAAATTAAAATCTCACACTGAAAGTTGTTTTTAAAATGTAATTGGCTTGAAAATTCTAAAAAAACTAAAAATAAAAAAACTTTTTACAGTTCATTCTTTCCATGTAATAAAAATTTAAATCTAACATTGTCCGAATCACCATTGTTATCAAACATAATCTTTTTTCTAATAAATGTCAATTACAAAGAATGCAGTAAATGCGTATATTATAATACTATATAGGGCCATAATAATGCCGGTACGTGTTTCTACGACAGTAAATCAGATGAACGGCTGTGCGAACGTAAATATGTGCGATACATATTCACATGCTTTTAGCTTAGCATCTCGATCTCTATGCAAATAAACGCGACGACTACAGCCGCATATGTATGCATGTTAAGACAGGATAATATGTGCTTTTCAGTGGATTATATTATCTAGTGTTAATATTCTTTTTCCACATTGTGTTTTCTCCTCGTTATTTCCATCTCTTGAAAAAACTTTTTTCAGCTTTTTTCATTAATTTTTACTGTCAACACTAAAATAAGGTATGTATACGTCTATCATTTCTGTTTAAAGCCTTTTAAAAAACACATTTGCAAGTTATTTATAAACGTCTAAGAGAAAAATTGCTAAAAACTTATTATACTATAACTCTCATCAAGTCTGAGAGGGAGGAATTATATTCTCTTATTTTTGTTTACTCTAAAGATATTTTAAGGAAAAATTTGATTTATATATGTAAATAGTTACATTAATAATTTTAGATTATTATCAATCGTTTAAAATAGCGCAATTACTCAAATATCATTATAAATAAATCGTTAAAAAATGCCAAAATTAAAGTCAACCGTTTAATATCGTTAAAATGCAATTATTCAAATTGAGATATCATTATAAATAAATCGTTAAGAAATGCTATCAAAATTAAAATTATCGGATGCTAAAAAAAGAAAAGAAAAAAATAACGAAATAATAAATCAACTAATTAAATAAGTCGAACGCTTACCTATTCAATCTAATGGTACTCTTCGTCTCTCGCACCATCAACGCTCGCTCCCAAAAGTGCACGGCCTCGGGTAGAATGGTATTCTGAAATTAAATGACAAATCATTTTCTTTATTTAATTCAACACGAGCACACTAATCCATGAGAATATGTGCGACACATACGTATGTGTTGCACATTCGGCAGACAGAGTAATTAGCACGATATATTAATCGGAAACAAGAATGTACGTATGTGAATTACGTACATGTAACCGGGTTTATTTCAAAATTTCTTCACGAAGAATATACAGTTGTAAGAAGGAAATTCGACGGTACTTGACGAGAAACATCATCGCGAGTCCCATTATCGTGAAGGGATTCAACCATTACAACATTCTGTATTTAACGTATTTTTCTCCTTCTCTCTGCGAAACGCGTGCTGCCAAGCAAGACACAGAAACATGACGTATACGAAATCGCGTAGAGCGAAACAGCGAAGCAAAACGGACGGTGAAAAACACCGAAAGAATGAAATAATGCAGCAAGCTCGACAGATGGAAAAAAAGCACTCTCTCTTGGTCTTTTATGAAGCTTCGCTGGCGTGTAACAACAAAATTACGCCCCTCTATAATGCAGCACAATCGTGATCTTGTGAAGATGCGATGCTTTTCGGGGTTAATCCTGGCTAACGGTATTAGATTGTATGCGATTTTTAATTTCTGTGTCCGCTATACAATTTATATCGGATGTAAAAAAGTCTAACATCAAGCTCAAAAGGCTGTTTCTTTGTCCTGTGCATTTATCATGATTATGAATGCTGAATAATCACAGTTCTCTGCATTGAATAGAATATTTGATGGAAATATCATAACATTATTACGAGAGTTTTAGAAGAGGAATATTTTTCTGCGCAAAATATAAAAGATAAATGAAAAGTTAATAAAATTTGAACAATATAAGGTATGGTTATACAATTTTGCATAGACTAAATGTCGCTCGATATATGAATAGACACATACATATATATATATATATATATATATATATATATATATATATATACATACATTTTTATCAAGTTTTAATTTTTCAAAAATTTACAGTATTCAAAAAATAAAGAAAAAAAGAAATGGATAAAAAGATATTCTCTAAAAGTGAATACGAGATTATAAAAAAAGCAAGGAAAAATTGCCTTGTGCGTAATATACTTTAAAACAATTATAAATAATTGTATAAATAGATAAATACAAATTCTAAGCATTTTTCCTCTTTTCACAGGCATTATATAATGTTGTACCTCTCTGTGAAAAAATAATAAAGTAAAATAAAATATATAAAGTTATATAACGTAATAAGGGAAAGCATTTTATATTAATTTCTAAAATAAAGATCAGACATATTTTAGTTATTATAGTTTCAAGATGTTAAAAAATAATAAAAGTCGCAGAGAATTCGCACGTTTTATTTTTTTTTATAATTTTCTCCCTTTAAATGCCTTCAAATTATTCTATATACAAAAAGAAATATGCATATAGCATATATATGTATAAGATAATATGTATGTATAAAATAATACTAAATAAGCATTATTTTGCTACAGAATATATATAAATTGCAAATTCTTATGAAGATATATAGACGTCGAATATGCTTTTTTATGTATTGTATAAAGGATCAGGAGAACAACGCGTTTCGTTTCCTTCTGTTCGTTCATTTTTTTTTATTCTACTAAAAGCGTCGAAGAAACGAAAAGAAAGAATGGTGCACATTACTTTTGGTTATCTTAAACAAATGATCGCTACTGTCCGAGAATGCGCTATTGAAGCATGTACACAGTGAGAGAATTTTACGTTTGAACGAACGCACATCATTAGTATCAGCCTAGTGGCGAGCTCCTGATAATTAAAACGGAACCGAACAAATGGAATCTCGAACACGCGAGCGCTTGATTTTCTTTGTCTGCAATTATTTTTCGCTGATTGCATCGTGGAAGGAGACGGCCGTTAACAGAATCTCGCGCGCGTTTTCATTACATTTTCTTCCTATTTACAGGCACTAGAAAGAAAAATAAACTGTCGCATTGCTAGAAAATTATGGCTCGTGGTCGATATTCCATTTACGATAATAACCAAGACTGTTTCAAAAGATAATAGAATAATGGTGTCATATAGATTGCTACTCCAGCGATTTTTTAACGCAAACATTTAATCAATGCATCATTCAATATGATAGTTAAAATATAGACAGATTTTATCAGAAAAAAGTTTATAAAATAAAATGTACATAACAGCATGTGCCAGAGATATACTTATTAATGTATTCTTAGTAATACATAGAGCAAAATACATAAAATAAATTCTGTTAATAATATTACACCACGGTTTTTAAATCATAATCAATTATGTACTATTATATTTTAATAATAATTTTAATAATTATATATTAATAATATTTTATTATACAAAACATTGTAATACGTGTTTCAGTGTATAGTGTATCATGAATAGTAGATTAAATTGTAATGCAGATATTATTAATATCAAAGTTCATGAAAAGCACTTTTCCTTTATATATATATAATCAGTGGAAAAGGTCACAGTATGATTTCTTCAATGATCGATGTAATAAATATGAATTTTTAATTTATTATATATATATATATATATATATATATATATATATAATAAAGATATTAAAAAGTTATTATTGTAATTTTTTTAATCTTATATATTTATGAATAATTTGGAAATATACATTTCCAATTTGGAATTGATTTCCAAATATATATTTCCAAATTATTCTTAAATATAAGATTTAAAAAATTATAATAATAACTTTTTAGTATCTTTTTTATTTATAATTAATATCCAAAGAAAAGAAAGTTTGTTTGATTAATTGTGATAAATTAAAAATTCATATTTATTACATCAGTCGTTGAAGAAATCCTATTGTAACCTTTTCCACTGATTATTTTAAGCTTCTCAGAGAAGCTTCTCTGATTTTAGTAAAAAGTAAAGTTTTACTCTCTGATACATTAATTCTTGTCGCAAAGTGGAACGGTTAAATATAATTTTACGACAAATTTATCCTCGTCGCGTCTAACTATGTGTAGCAATTGCAATACCCTATTTGGGAGGTCTATCTAATATATTTAAACAGCGACAAATAGCGAATGTACGGAAGGAAATAGTGAATAGAATTGTACCGAGTAGATGAAACTGATGGTAACTTATTTAAGGAAAAAGCAGAGAGGTGACCACAAGAACGCGGAAAGGGTGGAATACAAAATTGAATGCGGACAGATACAGGGGCCAATGTTTGGAAGCATTTTGCGCCTCGTTACGCTCGATTTCCGCGATGAATAAATCGATACGCGTCGACTAAAATATAAGAGAGGAAAACCAACGTCGGCGGCATCGCTATTTTTTTTATACATATTTTTTTTTCTTTTTCTCCCTTTGCATCACGTTCTCTCATGACGCGGTTGCAGTTGCGGCTGCAGAGAAGAGGCAGCGTGCAAGATGGAAAGAGGTATGCGCGACAACTGGCCGATTATTGTTGACAGAGACGACACGCGGGTGCTCTCGCAAAATTATTCACGAACCGTCGCGCGAGGCTGAATTCAATTTGGCGCTGCGTCAACGCTCTCACTAGAAAAAAAAGAGACGAAACGAGAACGACGAGAAGGACGGACGCTAAAAGGGTTGCGAAGGATGAGAGACCCAACAGAGGGCTGGTCTCTCCCTCCCATTTCTTCCTCCTCTTTCTCTCTCTCTCTCTCTCTCTCTTGGTTTTTCACCAGATTTACCGGATTCTGCAGCCATGCCAGTGGATCGTAGCACTCCGATCCCCGGGAACGACCTATTTAGCGTATGCGACTGCCACAGCCGGTTCCATTGTAGAATCGCAAGCGATTAATTCGGCCGCCTGAATTTTATTTTGCAAATTTCGCATGCGTAATACGTCCGGGAATTTTGGAAAAATACAATCCTCTGAAAATGAGAATGCAGGGTCAACGGCCATGGTAATTATTATCCAGCTCGCAATGTCAGTTCTCGACCTGTCTCATTTTTTGACGGCGGGAAAAATTTCGTCGGAAAATCCGCGCAATTTTATACAGATGCGACGCGATATCAGGTTGCGGATGCACCTGAAGAGTTTCACATGCGTGGTTCTGTACAGTGACGGTAAAAGGGTATCTTGGAGCCGAGTGCATCAACGGATTGAAACGGAAAGAAAAATAATCCGCGCTGTGAGATTGCATCTTTGCCGAAATCACTTGCAAGATTTTTATCCGTTACGATGGGACCGGATGGTAATGCGAATAAACACGGCAGGATACACCTGTCAAAACTCCCGCAGATAGTAACACACAAAACACAATATTATTTTATCCCTCAAAATACACAGAGATCTTTATCAAAATTCTATCGTCACACTCGATACCCAATCCACGCGGTTTTGCGCGATCATAGCCGTGGTTAACAATTCCACAATAATTCTGTTGAACATGGTTGTAACATAGTTTGTAAAAGAAAAATTGACGTATCGTAGGCACATTCTTTTTTCATAAGCTTTAACTAGTCCAAACACAAATTTAAACAAACGTTTACGAAACTGCAGTTGATGTAACTTCGACAATTTTGTATTGAAACATTTTAGACTCGTGATCAAAGACCATTTGTTTGAAAAACTTCATTATTGAAAGTCAATGCCGCAATTTGAAATTCCTCTCTGCTAATGATATATTCGCGCTTTACCGTCGCCGTGTATATACGTATAGCACACGCGACGAGAATCGTGTATAAGTCCCAACGAATTAATTCACCGGTGAGAAAAGCGCGGCGGCGGCGGTGCCAGCGGCGGGTCCAATTTTTCTTACGGCCGGGCATGAATTTCAGCGCGCACTGTCCATTACGCCGTGCCCTTTATCCTCGTTAGTCGGCGTTCCTCTCTCCGGCGCCTCTCCATGTCCCGTCGAGCGTTCCTCGCATTGCGCGACGGGATGCTGAGCGTCGCTTTTCCCCGCGTCTGCCGCGCGCGTCTACAAGTTTCCGCGTCGCGTTTATCACCTCTACACAGGAGGGACGACGTTCGCCTTTA